AGTGCTAAATCGTCTGAAAAATCCAATTCCAGTTGTCTCCAGTTGGCCATTTTAAATTACTAGATACTTTTTGGCCTTAATCTTTCCGTGGCTCTCTTGACTTTGCAGGAACACTGTGGAGATTAATTCAGGTTGATGAAGCATTTCTCTAGGAGGGAATTAAACAGCTCTGTGGGAACAAAATTTGATTTGTATTTGGTAAAGGACTCTGCACAAGACAATAAGAATAACAAAAACGTGGGTAATGAAACAGAATAGCTCCTCAGCTAGGGGAGCACCATGTGTTCTGCTTGTTGGATACGGCAAAGATTCTGCAGAGAAATTGTTTGATCACATTGTTAAAAAATACCTGGGTTTAGGTGTATATGATGTGCAAAACTACAATGAATTAAACCTTCATAAGTGTTTCTTAATACCTGGATGCCTTGCAACATTAAAGATTAGTTAACATACTGTATGTGGAATTTAACAGTGCTAGTGCATTGCACTAGTGTATGTGGAATGCACAGTGCTAGTGCATTGCACACAGAAGCATTAGCTGGGATTTTGCTAAGTAAGTTCTATGCTATGAGGGTGGTGAGACACTGGCACAGGTTGCCCGGAGAGGCGTTGGAGGCCCCATCCCTGGAGACATTCAAGGTCAGGCTTGATGAGGGGCTGAGCAACCTGATCTAGTTAAAGATGTCCCTGCTCACTGCAGGGGGGTTGGACTAGATGACCTTGAAAGGTCCCTTCCAGCCCATCACATCCTATGATTCTATAATTCTAAGCACTGTGTAGACTCCTTAGATGATATTTTTTTTTTCACATGCCAAAGTCCCTGGCATTCATGGATTTATTAAAGGGCAGGTGAAGGGAGATGTTTCTCATCTGAACAGTCATTGCATGATAGAACTCTGAAATTCATAAGAAATTTCAGCTGGGAAAGCGGACTGACAACCAGTATCACTTGTTCAATGGTGAACTTTACAGTCACTGTTTTGAAGCCTGAGAAGAGATTTTTAACAGCCGAAGTGAGGATACACATCTTTAGGATGTGGATTTTCCTAGCCATTTGGATAACTAAATCTCTTGTTCTCCTCTCTCTATAAGAATGGTTTGCAGCATATTTTGTCTCACCTTAGCAATGCAGTGCTGCCCTGTTCATACCCATCTAGAGTACTGTCACCAAGATAATTTTCTCAGCATTTTGTGTTGGACTCTGTCTCAGTAGTTTATGTGTGCCTCCTAGATCATGTCAAATATAAATACAAACACCTCAATTTCTTGATACCAGTCATCTACTCTTTCAAAAGCATGCATTGCTTGGTTTGGAGAAGACAGTTCTCTTTTCCTTCATTGGTTCCCATGAGCCAGCCTCTGTTGTCCTTTCATTTCAGTATTTCATGTTCACCTTCTTGTTTGTTCTACTTATTCCATGAAATGGTTCTCCATAACCCTCTGTCAGAAATACTCTTTTCTCGGAGGGTGTGCCATACCTCTCAGCATGACCAGTATTTTTTAGACTGCTTAATTTTTCCCATCTACCTAAACTTTTTTTGGTTTTGTGCAATGTTCTTGAGGGCTTTGGGAGAGGGGCTGCCATTCTGTTTGGTTAGTATGATGCTTGGCAGAATAGACTAAGGTGCTATAGGGCTATTAAAAGAATAAATTGAGAATGGTTTTCCTAGAATCATAGAATGTTAGGGGTTGGAAGGGACCTCAAAAGATCATCTAGTCCAGCCTCCCTGCCAGAGCCTGATCCCCTAGGGCAGCCACACAGGAACCCATCCAGGTGGATTTTAAAAGTCTCCAGAGAAGGAGACTCCACAACCTCTCTGGGCAGCCTGTGCCAGTGCTCTGGCACCCTCACAGTAAAGAAGTTTCTCCTCATGTTGAGGTGGAACTTCCTGTGTTCTAACTTAAACCCATTATTTCTTGTTCTATTACTGAGCACCACTGAGAAGAGATTGTCCCCTTCCCCTTGACACCCACCCCTCAGATATTTATATACGTTAATAAGGTCCCCTCTCAGCCATCTCCTCTCAAGGCTAAACAGCCCCAGTTCTCTCAGTCTCTCTTCATAGGAGAGATGTTCAAGTCCCTTAATCATCCTCGTAGCTCTCCGTTGGACTCTCTCCAGTAGGTCCCTGTCTCTCTTAAACTGGGGAGGCCAAAACTGGACACAGTATTCCAGATATGACCTCACCTGCTGTGCTCAGGAACAGGAGAAAGTAAAGCGGAAAATGTCCTTGCAGCTCTCATCGAGCAGAGGAGACATCATTACTGACTTCAGAAGCTGGAATGTGTCAAAAGGAAGTAACTTCTTGCACAACACTGACCATGATAGTGAATGAATAATAAGGGCTTGGAGAAAGTGAGGAGAGAGAAATATCAAGGTAGAATTCTACCAATGTGTTGCTCCATCCCTTCCTTTGCGAGGTTGTTCATCTGGAATGACAGCTGTCACCATGCATTGTAAGAGACAGTGTCAAAAAATGTTGGATGCCATTCTTGGAAGTTCTCTCAGTGTTAATCGCAGCACGTTGCTGTTGCTGAAAACCATCCGTAACCCTACAAACTGGTTAGACTGGGTTTAAAGCCTGGGAATAACTCTGAGCAGTTTGTGCAGATCTAAGTGGTAATGGCAGGAATGTCAGGTTAATCTTCAAAGTCAGGTTCCAAAGGAGTAAAATGACCAGCCGAAGGCCAGTCTTGCTGACTTAGAGCAGCTGAATCCTCTTGTGAGTCTGGGGATTAGAGGTGATAAACATCACCAAGTGCAGCCTCAGAGGACGTGCCCTGTTTCACTGGGCACCCACAGCAGGATTTCTCTTCTCTTTGCGTGGTGATACAAATCTCAGAAGGTTCAGGGCTAATTACTTGCTTTGCTGATAGCGCTCGTTTATACATAGCCTTCCCTCCCAAAGGGAGGCTGCAGTAAATTACAGATCTGTAATAGCGCTGCCACGGTGTAGCCCGACCCAGAGATGCGAGAGGCAGCAAGCAGAGACTCAGCACGGTGTGATAGGATGGGGGGGAGTTGGCAGAAGTTACCCAAACAAGCATTTTAAAGTGACATTTGCCGAGGGATTCTGGATTTCCAGGCAGAGATGCCACTTTAATCTGAATGATCCACACACAGCAAGCTAGCGAGTCCACAGATTCACTGAATATTTCATTGCTGCCAGCAGGGAGAGAGCGGCGCGTGAGTAGAGAGGCTCAAGAAGGGTTGAAAGAAAGCAGTGTTCTCTCTCCTGAGTTAATGTTTAGACAATGCTACCTCCTTTTTACTCAATACTTCTATTTTTATATTTATGCATTTCCCAGAAAGCTTTGGGAGTAAACTCTCCAGAAACTTAAATACAATGTTTAGCCTTCGCTGTTACAGTTACTTCTCTTGGCAGTTCTTGGCTCTCTGTTCTTGCACTCCTGATTATAGGATACGTATTTTTCATTTTTAATTCCTTGGTGTGTCTTTACTCAAATTACCTCCTTCCTTGCCAGCTGTGGAGGTTAGGTCCCACCACAAAGTAATTACTAGTACTGGAGATGTACATACTTCTCCCTTCTTCCAGTGACCCAGCTTCTGCCCAGTGCCTGTATGCTCTGTGTGTGTGTGTGTGGTCTTACTAGCAAGGGCAGGCAGCAGCAGGGAGGCTGTAAACCCACTCTTATTTTTGTTACCTGTTGGCGGATGAAGTCTGTTGACATCTCACCAGCTTGATAGGCTCAGGTGTGGCAGGGTCTTGTGTCAGCCTGGCAGGCTGGTGGTGGCACAGCCACAGCACTGTGGCTGCCCCCTACGATGGTGTTGATGTGCCGTGCAGTTATTTCACAGCTCTGTTGCTGTTCACTAGCCGCACGGTGTACATGCTTTCTGCTTGTAATTCCAGTAAATATTCCATATGAAGGCAGGAGAAATCTCTGAAAGAAAGATCAGTGCTCTTTTCTTTTATGTGTATGTGCTCTCAGCTGCTTGATTTCGTGGATGTGCTTGTCACTGCTAGTGACAAGCTGTGGCGGGGGGACTGTGCTACACACGGTTGGGATGCAGTGCAACTGGTGTAGGCTACTCTCCTGCAAGAGAAAGAGCTTATATGACAACTCTAGAAGAAAGGATAGGATTTTTTTTTTCAAGGCAAAATTGCATCTGCCAAAAATGCATTTGATTTTTTTTATATTGTTGTTTTCAAGTGGAGGTTTTAGTAGCCTTGTGGACTTGTTTTAAAGGTTCGGTCCTTCCAAGTTCTAGATCCTCTATCATACTTCAGACCTTTCAGCTTTGTCCAGTGCAAAGTTGCATGACTTTCTCCTGATTAGTAAGCTTGCAGTAAGAGGGGCCAGGAGACAATTCTGCCAGCACGTGATATATGATTCATTGCTGCCAGTCAAAATATGCATCCTGTGCTGTGACTTCCAGAGACTCTGGGGAGGAAATTAGTAGGATCGAAGTGACACTGGTGCTCCTGTGGAATCATCAAAGCCTTTATTCTCATCTATACTTACGGAATGAATCCTTGGGGGAAAAATGTTGAAGTTGAGAGTGTGAAAAATCCTTTGTTCTTAAAGGTATAATATCACCACTCTGGCTATTTAACAATTGCAAGCAGTAGAAGGAGCAGAACTCTGGCTGAATGCTATGGCTACAAGGAGGAATAAAACCGAGTGAGCAGGTGTTAGCATGTGTAGGACGTGGCTCTCTGGCTGCTCTACCCAATGGCTTGTTTAATCTTGTTCTGCTAGGTGTTAGCAGCTTTCAGCAACATACAGTGATTAGTGCTCTGTGTCTTTCCTCGCTGCTCCTCTCTGTATCCTGGGGCTAGGATTAGGTTACAGGTCTGAAATGGCAGGGTTGTCTATGTTGACTGTGAGCTGAATAGTAAGGGAAGAGTTTTGCTGATAGACTGAAATGCCTTCTGTGTTTGTTTCCCTTCTCTGGAGGAGGGATGACATTAATTTTGTTTGTAGTCTTCTGTCTCTGACCTAAACATGTGGTGTCCAATTTCCTTCCCTGGCAGGTGACCTGGAAAATGAGGAATGGTGTCTGGGTACAGAGCTGACTCCAGCAGCAATAAAGACTGAGCCAGTGTTGTGTGAGACACCCGGCCTCGCTCCCTCAGTCAGTCTCACTGTCACAGCCACATCGCTGGAGGGGGAACAACCTGAGCTACAGACAGATGCCCTGGTACTTGCGGACTTTCTGTTTTCTCTGAGCAATTAGCTACAGATTCTGCCTATCACAGCAGCCTCCTTGGTGCCAAAGCTGGGCAATTCAGGGTGCACACTGCAGTTTGCTTTAATGGTTTTTAGTGCTTGGTGGTGTCCCACTACTGCTGTGAGAACTTGTGTTTTAAAACACTTATCTGCATCTCCAGGTCTTAACTGTTGGATGCAGAACTTTCTTTTCTATGCTAGCCCCAAAGCAGGGGCTCATGCGTCTTTAAAAATATGTAAACAGTTTCTAGTGAACTAGTCCCACCTGAACTGACTAACCTATTTGCCCTGTCAAGCCCATGACAAGCTAAGTGTCTTCCATGATAACTTGCTTTAGTGCTGCTCTACTTTCCCCTAAGCAGAACAAGACTCGTTGTTTGAAACAGCTGGAGAACTTCCCTGCTAAGTCACTTTTGCCAGACCTCTGAAGCTTTGACATTTCAAGCTGCTGCTGCTTTCCAGACCAACCTGCCTCGTAAAGAGCATTTGTGATGCCTTTCTGACCACAGCTGCAGCAGCCAGTGGGCATTCTCGAGGGCTTAGTTTGGCTCTGGTTGAGTTACGGAGAATGAGCTGCAGCAGCTTATGGCTCACCAGAGTCCCCTGTCAGTGGAGGAAGAAGCATGGCTGTTCTCAGTCCCCGGGGTGCGATGTCAGTCCAGGCCAGGTGGAGTTAGTGTGTGCTGAAACTAAATGTTTCCGATTGGATGTGGATCTGCAGTATGTGCAACAGAAATTATTTTATGATAACCTGGAAAAATGAAAGACAAGTTTCCCATAATCTTCTTTTAGTCTGAATGTGCTGTCCGCAGCATATGTAGTCCTGCTGCAACTTGGGATGCCACAGTTTGCAAAGAGTATATTGGGACTAGCTGGTATCTTGTTGCCATTGCATGGATTAGTTACACAGGTTATTGAGAGGGATTTTTGCTGCAATGAGCATGCTGATGTGTCAGGCTGACTAGCTCAAGCCCAGAACTGTAGCACACAGGCAGTTTCTGGGCAACAGCTTAGCAGCCTGATGCCCCAGCCCTGTCAGTGTGCTAAGCCAGGTATCTTCCAAATCTTGGTCAGCTGTGACTGTCCCTCCACAGCGTGAAATGAACTTTCTTCTGATAACCTGGTGGTCAGCGACTGGCACCTTGCCCTTGCTTCCAGATGACAACAGCCTTGAACAAGCTCTTCTCCACTGGCAGGAGGGTTTCTGTCTCTGCTTAAACAGACTGAGTGGTCCGGCAAATCCTAGCAGCAGCTCTGTTGCTAAGAGAAGTAATTTGAGTGGGTTGCATGCTAGCTTTCAGTCTGAAATGTCATCTCTGAGGCAGTAATCTTTTATTTAGCTAAATATAGTAGTAAGAAAAGCCATAGTGGTAGTAGGCAGTGCAGCTTCTCTGGAGCCTGGTTTAGCAAACTGTTAAAGCTTTGCCTGTAGCAGAGCAGAAGGACAGGGAACCTCTCCATTTATGGAGAAGTCATCCTTGTATCCTTCTCTTAAGATTTTTAACATGTATGCTTTGGGTTTTCATGCTATTAGTTTCTCTTTTCTAGATGAAACCACTAAGCCAGAAAGTTCTTCCAGAGATTAAATTGGAGCCCCATGAAGTGGATCAGTTCCTGAACCTCTCTTCTAAGGAAGGTTTGTTAATTACCAATGCAAGATGCATGGGGAGATGACCAGAATGCACAATGAATGTACTTTACCCTGATTAAATATTTGGCTTCCTTATTAACCATGTTAATCTTTAGACTGAACCTGTTGCCTTCTAGGGATTCAACTCAAGCTGCTGAAGAACCAGCCTCTGACCCATTTATGTGGCATTTTTTTCTTTTTTTTCCCCCTTGCTCTTCACAAAGAAAATGATCTCTTTTTTTTGTCTGTAATATAGTAATAATTGTACAGTTGCTGGAGGGAGCTTGAATTGTTAAAGTAGAGGATTACTTAGGCTAAAAGAGAAATCATTTTGAGGGGACTTAACTGAGGCATAGAAAACATGAAGAGCATAAGTGGAAACTTTACTGTTTTAACCTGTGATACAAAAGCAAGGATCTGAGTTATATGAAATTAGAAGTTAGGTAAATCTGTTTATAGCATATTAGTTTTAGCAAAGTTTTAAGAATGACCACGATCCCTTTGCACTAATCTATAAGTGAGGAAGGAGGAGTAATGATCCTTGCCCTGAAAGTTAAACATAGTTTTGTGGCACATAATCTGTTAACCCAAGAGAAGTTTGAAAGAGCCAAATATTTGGGCTGAAATTTTAGCAGATAGCTGCATTTTAGGAACACTTAATGTTCTGTTAGTGAATTCATTTTTTTTAGGTAAGTGTAACTGATCTAGGGAGAGAAGCAAGTGATGTAGCAAGTGGGAAAAGGGAGGCTACATCTCAGCCCAGGGCATAGATTTGATTGCTCAATTTGTGAGATTAATAACCTTGCTGTTTCTCAGGTATGTATCTTCTGGCAACTACTAGAGTTAAGATACTAGACAAAAAGAGCTCATGTATAATAGGGGGGGGGGTTTGCTACTATTTTAATTCCTTCCTCCTCCACTCATTTGATCTTTTCAACTCAAATTGGCAGAGTATAACAAAAGTGGAAGGTGGCAAATTCAGCCCTGTATCTTCCTAGTCTCAATTTTTGTGGCTGTAAATTTATCTTAGCAAAAAAATGACTTAGTTATGGCTGTTTTGGACGTCCACTAAATTGTCCGTGTAATATGAGTAGGCGAGACATTGCCCTGTTTCTCTTGGTCTGGACCCATTTGGTCATAGGCAGCACTTTGCTTGCCAATTGTAGCACAGGTTCTTTTGGCTACAAGTGCAGCAGAAGTTGAGTTATGGCCCTGGATAGCACAAGTGTGAGAGAGGTTCCTGTGGGGCTTTGCCTATGCTGCTTCTGCTCCATCAGTACATTAAACCTCAGAGCACCTGGGGAAGAAGCCAAAGTGAAGGTAGATGTTTCTGGAGCCTATGCATAGAGCTTTGTTTTGCTGATCAAACCTAAAGAAACCTGCTGCGTTTCATTCCTCCTTTGGAGACTTGTGCGCTCTGGAAATCTTTCACTTGATCCATTTTTTAGCAGAGTTCTAGTCTTGGAAATTGGGGCTGGGGTAGTGGCAGCTCTAGTAGAAATATAAATTAGCACCTCAAACCCTTGTGTTTTATGTCTCTTTTGGCATTTAGTAGTGGATCCTCTGCATTTGCCTCCAACCCCTCCCAGCAGCCATGGCAGTGACTCTGAAGGAGGGCAGAGCCCGGCTAGATCACTTCCTCCTTCAAGCCCAATCCAGCTACAAGCCACGGCTAAAGTGACATCACGCACAGCTTCAGTGCTCTCCAATTCTCCGCTCCTGACTGCACCACATGTAAGTTCGGCTGACTTTCTCCAGCATCTGTCTAACTGACTCAGTTGTTTTTCTTTCTTTCTTTCTAAAAAAATAAGAAAAAAAATTGCTGGTTTTGCCATGATTTTGCTAACTTTCTGTTGTTTTTTAGATGAATCTGTGTCTGGCCAAAATTGCAGATGCAGTAATTCTTGCTCACTGCTCCATTCTCTTCTCACAGGGAACAGCATGTGCCTCTCCTCTAAGTTGAGTCAGGGTTCAACAGTATTATTAGGTTTGTCCCACCATGAATTGTGTTTTGCATTAGGGCTCAGCCCTCCTGTCCCTGGTAGATCTGCATCTGTCCTCTTGTCAAAAGCAAGTGATGATCTTTAGGGAGGGATTTTCAGTAGCGCTTCTTTTTTCCCTGTTTGAACCAAGGGGAGTTTTACTCAGTGTGTGCAGAGCCGGGCTGGCAATAACTGTTCTGAGGGAATCCTGTCCCAAAAGTTCAATCTCTGAATGGAAGCTATTTAAAAGTTCTCCCTGTTCTATGCATTCCCATTTGTGAGAGACTGCTGTGTTAGAAGGCGGAGTCCTCTCTGCAGTGGGAGAGCTGCTGCCTCTCTTCCCTAAAACCTTTTTCTCTAGGGCTGTGTGCACTTACCATTATATTATTTCATTTCTATGACACTTGCAGAAATTACAGGGGACCGGCCCACTCATCCTGACAGAGGAGGAGAAGAGGACGCTGATAGCAGAGGGGTACCCAATCCCTACCAAACTTCCCCTCACAAAAGCAGAGGAGAAAGTGCTGAAGAAAATCCGTAGGAAAATAAAGAACAAGGTAAATGTTAGTTAGCTTTGCTGGGTAATTCCTGCTCCTCTTTCATTAAAAAAAATGCTGCAACAATTCTGCAGTAATGGCCTGTGGTGCTGTTGAGTGCTGTATGATGTCTTTTAATGAAGTGATTTTCTTTGTTCTTAAACACATCCATCAAATTGTCTGTCACTGTGATGACAGTGTGTCCCTGTCTAGGTATTTACCTGTGCACATGAACAATAGAGTATTTAGCAAGCAGGGTATCAAATTGCTGTTGCTTGGCTCCATTTTAAAAACAGTACAATCCTGCCCTTATGATAGGCAAAGACCTCTGTATTCTTTGCATGGTGATGAAAGTGTTCTTCAAGACCTCCACTGTTCCAGGTTTTAAAATCTGCCTGTGTATTTCAGTGCGCTAGTCTTTTGATACTGAATTCCATGACCTTTAAATGAATGGTTCGTACTAAGGCTGTGAAATGCCCTACAAGTCTTTTCGATCTTCCTACGTGGGGAAGAGCCTAATGACAGGGAGGAAAGCATTTTTTTCAGACCTGGCCAGCTCACTCATTCTAGGGGATATTAGCACATCTTTGAAGGTTAGTGCATTCTGTTACTGATTTTGGAGACAGAGGTGTAAATTTGCCCCCACTGAATTGGAATTTGGGCTTGTAATAGATTTTTTTCAAAATTTTTGGAAGTGACCTTGTCCATTTTATGTACCACTTTCATATAATCCGGGTCATTTATTACTGGAGTAAATCTCTGGAGGTCCTTTGGTCCAAGTCCTTGCTTTGAAAGCAGGGTCAGCCTAGGGCAAGTTACTCAGGAACTTGTCTAATCAGGTTTTACTGTCTCAAAGGGTGACGAGTCCCCAGCATCTCTGGGCAACCTGTTCATATATTTGGCCACTGTTGTGGTGAAAATAGAATTCTTAACACCTAATTGGTATTTCCCTTGTTGTAACTTGTATTTTTTTATATTTTGCTGTTTTGCTGTATGCTTCTAATAAGACATTATCTTTGCTACACAAAGTAGTTGAAAACAGCAGTAGCATTTCCTCTTTATCATTTGCGTTTTAATGTGAAAAACCCGGCTTTCTCTGTCCTTCCTGATCCGTCATGTGCTCCAGCATGCTTATTGTAGCTGTGGCCCTCCTCTGGACTTGCCTCTGAACATCCAAAGTATTTATTTTGGAGCCACAAACCATACTCTGTGCTCAGCTGTGGGCTTGCAGACACTGAATGGAGGGGAGGAACCACCTCTCTGGACCTGCTAGCTACAATCTTGTTAATGTAAACCTGGATCTGGTCGGCCGCCTTTGATACAGGGACTGACTTATTTTTGCTGAGTATTTTTGCTGACTTGTGTTTGACATGTTTTTCATGAGGACGTGCAAGGCTTTTTCTACAAAGCTGCTTTCCAGTGCATTCATGGGCCTTTCCTCTCCCAGATACATGGCATTGTCCTGGGATCATCTTTTAGTATTTGTCCTAGGATATTCTCTCCAGATGAATCTGATTTACTCTTTAAGGTTTGTTCTGTAAGAGCAGGGAATGATCTTTTTCCTGCTATCGAGAGGAGCCGTCTTGCTTCAGTATGTGGAAACAGACCCAGTGCTTTGCTTACCGGGAGTAGAAATGAAAACAACGCAGAGGCTTGAATCTCATAAAGTCAGGGGTTTTTACCATTTACTAATTCATCTCCGATGCTTTTTTTTCCTGTGCAAATATTTGGTGCTTTTCTTGCTTTTTCCTCAGATCTCTGCCCAGGAAAGCAGAAGAAAAAAGAAAGAATACATGGACAGTCTGGAAAAAAAGTAAGCCAGCCTCCTTCCTGTTTGAAGTGGGCCAATAGCACGGGCTGCTGGACTGGGAAGGGATCCAGCTGTTGATGCTGGGACTGTTTTGTGCATGGAGTGCCAGCTGCCATCTCGTGGTTATGACTGAGAAAAGGCCCTTCCTCTGGCTTCTGCTTGCTCTTATGCTGGGGTGCTGCCTGCATAACCGCGTCTACCTGCAACACATTGCTAACGTGCCAAGAAAGACTTTAAACCTTAAGTAAGGCAAGGCCCATCTGCTATCCCGCATCGTGCAACCCTGTTGGCCTAGCAGGGTGTAGGTACTGTCCAGGGAAAGGTGGATTCAGAGTGAATATATTCTGTCTTCCAGCATGGATGGAGACAGAAATAGGGAGTGAGTGAGTCAAGACTGCCTGGGAAAATAAGCAGAACTCAGGAAGAAAGCATGTGACCCATTGACTTCCTTTGGAGCGAAGGAACCAAACCTCCAGTTAGTGATTTATATCCCAAGTTAATCTCTCTTCCAACAGGCTTATTAGCCTCCATAAACTTGAAATTCAAGGATCTGATTTCAGAAGCATGGCGTTCACCACATTGCTTGGTGCCTTATCCTGGCCATGAAACACAAAGGAACACCTTCGCACAAATTGCTTGCTAACAACATAAATATAGCATGTTCTGTGACTTTCCAAGTATCTGTCCCATGGCCCAGTGCACAGAGAAAGTCTGAGCTAGGTCTTTGCTTTTAGTATTTCAAGGGGAAAAAAGTAGTTATAATCCGTCCTGAATGAACTGCACCTACCAGGATGTAGTTGAGCACTGTAAGCAGATGTTCCACAGCTGGTAATATGTTGCAATGTCTTTTATACTGTAAATTGTGACTAAAGACTATGACTAAAGTTTGTTGATGTAACTTTTCATTAGATGTAGGCAAGATCATAGAGCTCTCTGTGAAAGCAAGTTTGATTTGGTTTACAATCTGTTTAATAAGTGACTGTTTTGGTTTTTTTTACATTCCTCTTTCTTTCATTGTGCTGCCTCCAGAGTTGAGACCTGTTCAAACGAAAATAGTGAGCTGCGTAAGAAAGTTGAAGTCCTGGAGAATACTAACAGGTAAGGGATGAAGGGAATAAAATAAAACTGTAGCATGATATTACAGTGAAAAGCGAAAATCTGGAAGTGAAGAGATCAATTGAAATGTGAGCAATAGCTGTATCTGATGTGTTTAATGTCAAAGAAAGATGAGGATGGTCAGTTATTGTGACTGCAGTGTGATGGAGGCTTTGATGTCAGGTCTTAAACTGTCTCCCTAATCTGTGGTGTGCTTCGGAAACCTTTTAGCACTCTGAGTTCTTCTACTGCTCAAGGAGATGTAATTCATTATGCATAACAAGCAAAAGCTACAGCCCAACATTCCAAGTTGTTTTTATTTAGCGAAAGACTTTTTTGACATGATACCTTGGCCTGGAACATGACACTTACAGAAATGATAGTGCTGAAGCTCAAGAGTCATTATTAGTTCATTCTGGACTACTAGTTGTCATTGTAACTATTGTGCACCCTTCTAACCATCTCACACCCCAGAATTTCCTTAATTTGGAGGGCGAAAATCAACTTGTTTCTTGATTTCTGAAGAAATGGATAACTCAGTAGTGGCTTTCTCAAAGGACGCATGGCAGAAAATGTTGAATAGCTGAGCTTTTCACCAGATATTAGCTGAGATGGGAGCGTCAGTCATAGCTTATGCTCTGTGTGCTCCCTAATGATGGCAAATTCCAGTGAGTAGGTACTAGATTAGCCCACTGTTAACACCTTCTAGTTAGATAGATTTGTAGTGATGGTTGAATATTACCATTGAATATTACCATTATCATTGTAGTGATGGTGATGGTAGCACTGAAGCGTGGGAGGAGGCTGGATTTTGAAGATAAGACCCACGATTGTGGAAAATGGCCCTAGAGCTTGTCTGGCAGCCAGTGTACTGCTAATTGAATGGCATGTGTTGTTTCTAATCTCCGGATCCAATCTTTAATTTCATGGAGCCAGGCCCTGTAGCACTGTAATTTGTTGGAGAGTGTCTCCCACACACTGCTCATGCATAAAGACATCTGCTGCTTGTTTGGAGAGCTAAGCCATTTCTCTGCTTCTTGTGTCTTCCCCCAGGGTTTTACATAAAAGAAACAGGAATTCTTCTGTAGGTGTGGAGTAGGGTTTTCTCTCCTAGGATCTGTCCCAGGAGGTGCTGAAGTGAGCCGCTCTAAGGAAAGGTGCAGCTGTGGATGAACCACTCAAGGACAACATGTTGTCAAGCCTAGAGCTGTTCTCCCCAGTTCAGCTAAATTTGGTCAGCTGTTCACATCTCTAAGTCATTGCAGATGCAGTCATGAGAACAACTTTGTTGGTATTGCCCGTCCTTTTAGACAAGACCTTTAGCATCTTCTCTATTATTTGATGATCTTAATTCTCTCATGCTAAATGCTCTAAAAATATTTAGCTCAGTGGTACTATCTCCAAATTCTTCATACCTCGGGCATGTGGGATGAGTTGTGTTGTTTTCTTCTAGTATTGATATTGAATTGTAATCTCCTGCAGAGAAGCGGATGCTCTTGACCCTTTGCACAGAAATTCTTGCAATTCGTGGTGATGCTGTTTTGGCTCTTTAGATACAAACCGTGTCTAAAATTTGTTAAGGCTTCACACTGAAATACTGAGAAATTGTTTAAAGTGCCTACTTTCATCAAGCCTGAATTACGTAGCAAACCACGTTAAGAGTTTTTTCACCTTAACCCCAAAGAGCCACTTTTCTTATTTAGTGTATAACTGTACAACTGTCTCATTCAGAGAATGGCTCATGGCCCTTGTTTAATATACATTATCCCCTTCCTACTGTGAATTCAAAATGTCTGGTTTCCTCACTGGTATTTGAGAGCCCTGAAGTAGTATCCAGAAACTGCTCAAATGTTTCAGAACTTGTCTTTACAGCATCCTATAGCTAGTACTTCCATCTCCTATGTACAGTCAGGAATCAAAGTTCAAAGCAGTGATGGTCAAAATTATGCAGTGTCAATTTATTTTTGGATGCTCAGGTTTATATGTTGAGGACTTTATTTCTTGAAGTACCTAGCACAAAATTATATACACATGTATCTCATTTAATATGCCCAAAGCAGAACCTCAGCTGACTTTAGTTGCAGCTTTAACACAGTAAAAAATGAAGACATTGTTGAAGGTATTATCTAAAAGTAGATCCACAAACATCAGAGCTGTTCCATTGTTGTGAAAAATTGTAAGAGTGGAAGAAAGATAACAGGAAAATAAGAGCTGTGGATACATGTAAAAGTGTTCATGTGTTCAAGTGTAGATGAAGTTGGGTTTTTACCTTGTTGGAAAATTGGGCTGTAGCTGCTTACCTAAAAGTTCATGCACATGTATGTGCTGTTAGTCAGTGTGATCTTTTTGTAGTCTGGTGAAGTTGAGAGGGACTGCAGGCTAATTTCCAAAATACACAACTACTGAACAGCAGAGTTTCCGCTCAGTATGTGCAGTTCAGGTTTTAGAGCATGTCGTTCTATATATAGAATGCATTTGCACAGATACATATCTAAGACTTAGGGAAACCCTGCTTGTATTTCGAAATCTGGCTCCAAACCATGGAAACACTGGTTCGGAATTTCTTCGGATAAAGACGTTTCTACATTATTCTCAGTAACATGAAAACGATTTAGAGGAATCTTCCCTGAGAGCTTGCCTTAGCCTGAAATTCTGGATCTGAAAAGATGTAATGCAAAAGGTGAAAGTGTGGTCCAAAAATTTGCATCCAAAAGCATCTCCCTTGTCATTCATGCATCTTAAAAGGTGAGGCAGGAGGCTGAGGATCAAGATAGAAGCGCCTTATTATTGTCATTACTTTGAGTGGGTAACTGCAGCGTTCTTGGCATCTTTAGTATTAGAACATTAGCATATGTTTCCTCTCCTGATTTATGTGACTCAGACCCTTAAAAGAAACCCATCCAAGTTCCTTTCTGTGCAGTTTTCTCAAGACTAAGACAGCACATTATTGCATGCATATCTGTTATGTCTTGTGGCCACAAGTGAGCCGGGCTCTCCTTGGTTTCAGTAGCCTCTGAATGTGAGGGGCACTGCAGTCTTAGAAAGCAAAGGGTTGGAGAAGAAGCTTGCACCAAGAGTTGAACTGGCTTGTCCCAGTCACCAAGAAGGCTTGACCCACTCATGTTTTGGCACTGGGACTGAAGGAAGAAACTGCCAGTGATCTAAAGGATTGAGTAAGGTCTGTGGTGCCAGGGTTGGCTGGCGGGGAGCCTTAGCTATTTGGGCTTGAAGGGTTATGGTACCGTGTATGATGATATATGAGAAGTACTTTTGTTTTTCACTTCTTTTAAAGTCTGTATTGATAAATACATTGATGATCACTTTTCCTGGAGAAGCGATCCAATTAGCATGTGATTGAGAATGTCACACATGGACAACGCATGCAAGTATCTTCTAGAGTTGCTCTCATGGAGTAATGATATCCACTCTGGCATGCACTGTTCTTCCGTTTCGCATACTTCTGCTCAAGCTGTTGTTACAACTCCCAGTCATTCTAAGATCAAGTGGCATATCAGTCTGATCCACCAAAACTGCCAGACTTCACTGATTTGCTTGGCTGTTCCTTATTTGGGGCGAGTAAAGTCATTTTGCTAAGTCATTTTAAGGAACGAAGAATCTGGATTCAAGCTGCAATGAGATATCTTGCACTTCGTTTCAGACCACCCTTACAATAGCTGACAAAGCGTGGCAGCCCTGGAGCAACTCCCTGTTTTCAAAGCAGGAAGACAATGTTTTTTATGCTGAAATATCTTTGATGAAAAATTGCTGGATTTTTTCTTTGTGATTCAAATGAGGAAAAACTGTGGATTTTTTTTTCTGCTTTAAGGTATCCTGGTCTTTCAGTGAAAAGCTTGCTTCGGGGCTTGCTCTCTTTCCTACAAATAGGACAGGCGGAGAAAGAATCTGTGTGTAGGGTTGGAGGACAGAATAATTTTTCTGTCTCCTTATCAAAATTAGGTTTTGTTCCTCAGGAAGTAGAAAAATTGTCTGAAAAATCTTGGTCAAAATAAGCAACGGATGGTGTCCCCTGGAAGCTGACTTTTTTGTTTAAATCGATGCTGGATTTTAAACACAAACACTGAATTGAGGAAACCTCCCAAGTGGCTAGGTTCTAGAATGACAGATTTTAATCAAAGTTAACTTAATCAAAGTGTCACTGGAAGCAGAGGGGGAAGCCTTGTCTTGTTCCTTACTTTGGCAGGGAAAGGGGCTCTTCTGGAGATGTGAATGTGCACACAAAAACAAGACATCACAGGCAGAACGAATTTGCTGGTAGTGTGTGGAGGGGAGAGCAGGAGTCTTCAGTCACTTTACAGCTTTCCTATGAGGTGCTTCCATTGGCAGAGAAAAGCGTGAAAACACATTCACACCTCCTACGGAGGTGACCCTCTAATTGAATATCACTGGGAAATGTGTCAGACACAGTGAAAATAATCCCTGTGGGTGCAAACCCCCTTATGCATGCTTCCTTGGGATTGCATTTTCTCCTGTTAGGACTTGGCCATAGCTAGTGTGTTTCACTAAAAGCATTCGTGCCCTTCCTGCTGCTGTTTAGAGGGAGCATCTTAGTTTAATATAAGTCCCTGTTTTGCAGAGCAGAGAGCTGCTCCTTTTCCTTCTCCTAGTCCAGATCATCCCTGTAGCCATCCAGTAACAAAGAAGGTAGTTTTTGCATGGGAAAGGAGATCTTTTGACCACATTCAAATAAAGAATAAAAGCACCAAGGAGTGCCTCATTTTGGTGGTGGCACAGTAATTCATTATCATCTCTGAACAAACTTGTTTGTTGCTCTTGCCTCAGCTCTTGCTCTTGGTTTAAAAATGTACCTGTAGCCTGTCAGCTCCCAACACTGAATCTTTGTCTGTTGAGAAGAAGTGCTCCAACAGATAGATGACTTGAGGAAGGAAGTCGTTTTATGTCAAGGTAGTTGGTAAATAAAGCGGGGGATGCATCTTCGTCTGTGTATAGGAGACCTCAGAATACCTGCCTAATTATACTTTCCAAAAAGGGAGTGTTCTGGAATCAGTTCTCCGGGCCCACTCTGCCCAGCAGGTTTTTTAAATTGGACGCAAAAAGACAGAGATGAGCAAAATGAGGAGAATTGTCTCTTCTCTGTTGATTTCTTCGCCAGCCATTAGCTGTTTTCTCACTGACGCCTCCACAAAAAGTGGCAAGAACGATCAGCGTTTCATGGCTGCTGCTGTTCGCAGCCCCCGAGCTGAGGAGGAGGGGGAGGAGGAAGAGAGCTCCTTCCTCCTCACTCTGCAAAGCTGTTCCATGTCAATCCCAGTGACTCAGGCCTGAAATGAGGGAAAGATGTAGTCTTGTGTAACAGCGTAGAATTTGCAGGGTTAAAAGGGTATTGCTTATACAGCATAACGTGTCTGGTGGCATATGGTGGGAATACTGTACGCAGCAAGTTCTGTGCTGGAAAATGCTATATACTATATACACAAGTCTTTCTGAGCCCTGTGCCATGCAGTGGATGTGAGGAGGAACTGAGGAGATAACCAGAAAGGAGCAGGGATTTAGGAGGGTCTCATTTACATGATGGACAGTGTTTTCATCTCTTAATTTGCCTGTGGTATCTCTAATCGTGAATTAGACAAATCACTGTCTTTTTTAAAATATTGAGTTGCAGAATAAGCCATGCTCTCAAGAGCATGCAAGACATCCTTCCTTAATAAGTTGAGAAAGATCTGCTGGCCCAGATAAATCTGTGCTCTGAGCATGCCTTGTGCTCATTTCAGAATGCATTCCTGAAGTCCTTGAATCCATTAAACCCTAATTAGCGATGAGCATTGATGATTAAAAAGCCCCATAATAATAGGCAGACAAGTGTATATTGAGCTGTGGAGGCACCTCTGGGTCTGTCCTACAATTAGCTTTTAGCCAGTTTGATCTTAAAATAATCCTTCTATTTTCTCTGACATCCTGACCTTGCCTCTCGCTTTACCATTTGACGTCACAGCTTCCAAAGCTGTTGCCTGGGGTTTTGTGGGGGTTACCCTTTACAGTAGGCTGCAAGACTTACAGCAGAATTAAAAAATAAAATTGGAAACAAACAGCAAAGTTAACATCTTGTTGCAAAATGGTAACGTATTTGACTGTGCCGAGGACAGGCAGTTGGGTTATTCCTTGTCTGTTAAAAAGCCTTAATGAAAACAAAATGAAAACCACTGTGAAAACCCTACATCCATCATTCTTTGAGGTCATTTCCCATTTAAAAGCCTAATATCCTGACTGCAGTAATTGATGATGACACAGCAGAAGAAAAATGGCCAGAAAGACAAGAATATCATCCTGATCTGGGACTGTGGACTGCAACCAGCCAGACAAGAACTGCCATTGTAGTTGGGACCTCTGAAAGACACAGTCAAGAGTAGCCATGTCAAACATCTCTGATTTTCTGGAGGATTTAACATATAGCAGTAAAGTGCGTTATTTAATAAATGAATTTGAGAAATGGAGTCTGTGCCTCTCTCTGGCTTTAAGACCTTCTCTTTGAAAGTGGTCCAGCATGTGGCCCAAAACACTGTACAGCAGGTTTTCAGAAAAAGGAGGTAGTCTTATATTCCATCACTGACTAAAGCAATTATAAACTTGCTACTGCAATTTTTCAAATGTTGATTTTTTTTTTTCATGACATAGAACGAGGTCATATATATGCATCTAGTGACTTTCATGTGGAGCAGTTTCAGTTGTTCATAGGCTTACTAGATTTTTTTCTTGTAGAAACACTGAAAATACAGTTTATATTTATAAAAGCCCTCTGAAAATATTGAAGAAGTAATTGTTCAGGTACATCAGTTGAAGGAAGGGTGAAAGACCTTTTTGAAAAGTCCAGTGCTCATGCATGTAACAATCTTGTAAATGT